AAAAATAATAACAATATATATATAAAAAATATATAAAAATAATTGAATTCTGTTGCCTAGTATTCTTACAGTACTTAAACCTTTTGAAAACACATTAAAACCAAACTAGAAGAAGAGTGGTATTAAACAGGAATAATTTTTAGCCAAATGCCTGCTGCTGCGTTTACGAAATTCCATATTTCATCATTATAGACTGGCTTAAAAATTTGTATTATTGCAGCAGCTTTAATAAGTAGAACTGAAGTGGTAGACTGTTGCCCACACAATACATACCACTAACATCAGTATACATTTTGGGTTTCTCACCTTGTCAATCATTTTACGGGCTTCCACTTCTTCAGAATTGGGATTTTCCAGCTCAATAGTGTAAGTACCTTTGTCACTCTGGTCATCCTCATTGTCTTTTTCAGTAGCAGCAGAAATATGTTGGCTTTTCAACTTTTTGTCCATCTCCTGGTTCTGACTAGGCCTATGGCCAAGGCTTCCTGAACTCCTTAACAGTGCAGCTTGTAAGACAGGTAATGGGGCAGAGGGTTCTTCTGATTTTTGTTTTAGAAGTTTTGCATGAACACCATGTACTGCTCTGTGATGCGATGAGCTAGCTTGCACAGATGAAGAGGCTGCCTTCTCTCCTGATGCAGGTTTCACTCTTTCAGCTCGCGCATGAGGTGTTGAAGATGGAGATTCTGGGCACAGAGCTCCTACATTCTGAGAAAAAGAGTAAGAACGTCTCTTTCGAGGATGGTCTTCATCAAAAAACTCAATCATAAAGGCAGTCTGACTCAAACCCGCTTGCTCTTGCTGCTTTTCCGTGGAATGGACTTTCTGTTGTGACTTTTTCAGCTCTGTATGATGATGCCTTAGGTGTTCTTCAAGCGCTGCCTGCTTACTGTAATGCCGGTGTGCACCAGCATTTTCTGAATCACTTTGTGTACCATCATCATGCTTATTCCCTACAAGCAAAGCAAAAGAATATATAGCACAATGAAACAAACAAACAAAAAACCCCAACCCAACACATATAAAAGCAACTGGCAAACCAAGAAAGAATGAATTTCAAATTGGTTTTCTGTGTAGACTCTTGACACCTTTCAGTATCTGGCTCTGCAAATTTTGTACAGCTCCTGGTAATGCATTCAGCTTGCTATGAGTCAAACAACAGAACACTTTATAAGCTGATCAGTAACAGCAGTGCAATTGCATTACCCTTTTCACCAGTATTTTCATCTGTGAACACTTATCAGTGACTTACAAAAGCCAGTGTTTTGCCAGCTGTACTATAGTACATTTCTGAATTATTCTAATCTTGTTAGACAGCCAGTTGATTACAAATGACTACTGAAATACCCCAGGCAGGGTTAAGAGGAAAAAGAAGACCCTGAAATAGTCCTTCCGGTAGTAGAAAATACCCATTGAGAGCCACAGTTCATATTACTGGATTCCTCACACATTTACTACAGTTTATCAACGAGAAACATCTACTGAAAATTGGAATGAATTCTTTATTACTCTTTCCAAGAAGTACAATGAGTTTTTCCATCATTCATTCCCCTCAGTGTATGACGTAAAATGGTTGCTGTAACTTATTCATTCTACAAACTACTTTGAGATCTATGAATAAGGATTATGTATTTAATAAAGCATATACACGCCTGCAAATATACTTGGTAATGATACCTGAAAAAGAATGGAAGGCTGGATACTCATACACACTAAGTCACACTTAACACAGAGCAACTTCATGTACAATGAAAGTCTACATTTTAAAGTTTTAGCTCAGTTCCTGAGAAAGAACAGTTTTACCTTCTTTGAACTCTTTTGGATCAATTCTTACTCATGTATATGTAGAATGTACAATTTTTTACTTTAATTTTTTTTTTTATTCTCAAGAGGATAGCTTTTTTAAGGTTTTCTCACTTACATAGTTAGGATATGCAGCTACTATTCAGTTAAATAGTGACCACATAGTGGGAAACCTCACTTATCAGACTAATAGCACTGAATACACAGCTGAAATCTCAATTTACATTCCTGTTTGCTAAATATTTGTACAGTGTCTAAGAAAATGATGCGATGGTTCATACACTTCCAAATAAGAACTATAAATATCATCACCACAGTGAAAGTCATATAACATGATTTTACCAGTGTGACTTCATTACAGGATATTGTAAGAAAAAGCCAAGGAGAAAAAACCAAAAAGTTTTGGTTTATTTTAAATCAAACTTTCAAAGCAGCTAGGTATATTCCCTACCTTTATGACTTGAAAAAGTGCAAGTAATGAGTGAGAATACAAACAGATCACAGGAGATTACAAAATTCAGATATTTATTATGGCCACATGCACCCCATAACCTATACCTCTTTCAGATGAAAATTTATCCAAGTTTGAGGAGTTTCTGCCAGGAAAAGGCTAAGGCCTTGTAAACAAAACCCTTCTTACTTATCAAAGTGACAGGGCTAATATTTTAAAGAATGTTCATGAATATAATACAGTATCATGAAGAACAAAGAATGCTCTGTGATAGAAGAAATATTATACTATTATCTTAATCCTAGCACATTGATATAATTCTGTTTTCAAAATTTTATTTTTTAGCTTAATTTGGAAGAGTCAGCCTTAAAAAGCAGACTTGATCAGTAAGACAAAGCATATTGTACCCAGTCCCAGCTGGTTTAAGAGCTAGACATGATAATGTTGCAGAATCAAGAAAAATCAGAATTGCAGGGTTAACCTGCTGAAACTAAAAAACAGAAAATAAGAGAGACTTGAAAAAGTTATTCAGAAGTTTTAATTCTGAAAGTCTGAATGTCACTGGAATCTTCATCTGAACATCAAAACTACTTTCTTCTCTAGTCTGCTAAGTGGCATCCAAAAGAAAGTACACTTATCATTCGAAAGTACGCTTAATATTTGATTTAATTTTATTTGAAGTGTCACCGTCTGCAGTAAATGAACATGTATAATCACCTGGAACTCCACTCAACAGCAGTATTCTTATAAATACAATATTCTGCAAGCTTAGTATAAAAATTGAAGCTCTTGGTCTATTTCAGATTCCTGACTCAAACCTGACTCCATCATACATGATCGATTTAGGCAGATAAACTATATGATGTATTCTTTGCCATAAATGATTTTTCTTAAAGCACATGAATATTCACAGAACACACGGAAGAGTTGCTAAAAGCATAAATTGAACTTCAGAACTTTGATTCCAAAAAGTAATTCAGTTTTTTAACGTAATTCATGGGACAAAGTGAAATATATAAAATTTAACTAAGGTTTGGTATTTTTCCTTTTCCCTTTCAAGATCAATGTTTTAAATACCTGACGTTTTCAGCCATACTAGAGTATCTCCAACTAGTTAGAATATCTCCAATTACCTACTGTAAGATGATTTAGGATTTGGTTTCCTATCCTCTTTTTAAAGACTTAATACTGCAATAAAATTTCCCAGCACAGATCCTCGCGTGCATGTGGAGCATCTGTGATTTCAACTGAACTCCGCAAGGGCTCAGGGATCCACTCACTGGATGCTGGTGAGGAATCGTTGCTTTCAGAAATAAGCATAGCTGGAATCATTCACTTTACCTTTCAGTCTCTTCAAGTACACTGGAACGTCACTCTTAATACTTTTGGAATCCTCCTCTGTTGGTTCCCATATCATTCGAGGAGGATTGTTCTGTGCTAGCCAATCTGCTACTTTGCTCTCTGCGGCCATCATCACCGTTTGAAGCCCAGGCAGGTCCTGACCACCGGAGGAAGGCGGCTTTTTTGACTTGTGACGCTGTTCCGATGTGAATTTTGTCACGTGATCTCTGATCGTTACTTTTCCTGGAGTGTTGTCATCAAATTCAATGGTAAAGGAAGCATGCCCTGCACCTGCTGCATGGGAGCTTTGGGTGTCTTTTGTTGGTATTTCATGAATAGTGCTCTCTGCTACCTGTGAAGGTTGCTGGAATTCTTTTGTAGGGATTTCAAAATAACTTGGCTCCCTACAGAAAGGATAAACTTCTTCATTTGCTGCTGCAGATTGCTCCTCAGCTTGCTTGGCATCTGTGCTGCATCCTATTGAGAAAAATAAAAAATAGATTTCACAATACTTGGGAACTCCAGGTTCTTCAAGAAGTGTCTGAACTCCTGTAAAGGCCACTTAAGTAATTTCTGGAATAAACGGTAAGATTGTGGAGAAGATTGAGCAATGTAGTTCTGGAAAAATAATTCCAGAATTACACATAAAATGTATTACTGATAAGACAGCACAAGCTTCTCCTGTAAGGAGTGTAAAGTGGCAAAAAGCTCACTTCGAATTTGTCAAAGGAAATTTGCATTCCAAAAAATTTTAGATGATGTAAAGGTCAGATGAGTTATTAGCACATGGAAAACAGGTAAATCACATTAGAGAAATAGTTGAGATGATGAATATCGCAATTCCGATCTATCGGAAAAACACCAAATCAAGGTGCCCCCAAAACAAGTGCTAGTGAACTGCTTTTCGTCTCCCGTATGGTATAATTTTGTTTGGTAAAACTCTTGGCAAAAACAATTCACATATTAATGCAAGAAGAACATTAATTCTGGCTTGAAAAGTTTAACAATGATAAGCATTGGAAAGTGTTCTGGAATTCAAACACTTTTTCTATAAAACATAAAACCAAAGAAATGCGCTAAATCCTAACGTTATCTGCTCTTATTTTACTTGTTTCCATAATTTGTAGATGAATAGAAAAAGTAACAATAGCTGGGAGCAGGCAGAATGTTACCAAATCGTGCTCTAACTGGGTAAAGAAAGCAGAACGTGGAAAAAGCACAGGGTCATTGAAAGTCCCACTGCATAGCCTGAATGAAGGTTAAAGCTTCTTGTTGTTGCAGCAAAGCTACCAATGCGCCTTTAACAAAACAAACCTTCTGGTTGCATTTAATGAACTAGTAAGCTAGCCAAAATATCTGGTGTAGAGATGTGCTATAAAAAACAGATGCTCGAGATGTTAGCAGCAATGGCAAGTTCCATTCCAGCAAGAGAATTCTGAATAGTTCCTACATGATTTATCATGAACCACATTAAGGTGTTTAAGAAATCATTTTAGTTTGCCAAGTAAAGGATTAAGAATGAAATTAATAGATTTCTGGTGCTAAAAATAGCCACACTGTATCAGCTGAGACAGTTAACATTTGTGTATGAACATATGGTGCAATAAGGTAGCAACAGAAACATTGGAGTCAGGAGTTTAAGGGGTAAAGGACGCAGGACGGCATAATGTGCCTATGTTGTTCTTCACAAACACATGCTTCTTGTGAAGACTTAGGAAAAGGTTAAAAATTAAAAAATAAAAAAGGATGGTAATCTGATTCAGAGAAACAGAAATAATTAAGGGACAGCATAATAGCTGGAAAAGTTAAAAAAAGAATGATGTTATGGAGTGACAACAAAGATAGTACAGTTTCTCTATTATCGCCATGCTTGGATGCCAACAGGATAAAATGACTCTGATGCAGGTAACACAGCTGTTTTAATTTATTTTATCTAAAAGTGGCTGTCACAAACACAAAAGATGTTCAGAACTCACGACAGTTTTCACATTGTGCCGTTGCATCCCAAGAATACCCTAGCTATTTAATGCTTTTCACTGCACTGTCAGCAGCCTCATCTCTGTGGGTAGTTTTCAGGCACTACAACAGCAACCCACTACTCCCCTCCCTGGGAAACGCAGTGCCTCTTTAGTCCCCTTCCTGAAAACACTTGTGTCAGCAGACAGACAATAGAACAAATCTATTTTACAGATGCAAAAGCCTCTATGTTTAGACAGAAAATGTACAGAAATAAAGTCAGACTTCGCAGCTACTAGATTTTAGGTAAACTACCATCACTCTCCATTTGTTTCAGCCAGCTAAGAAGCTGGAATGGATCAGGCTCTAGTAGGATCAAATCTAGAGCCAGAATCCTTACTGTATGCAACGCTGCCACTGAACAGGAGAGTAACCCACCAGAGAGCCAACTGATATGTACCTTAGTTTTTTTTTCCCCCCTATGGTTCTATTCAGAGCTTTGAGCCTACAATTTCATGCAATTCCTGTAACCAGTAATTAAGCAAGACACAGTGTTCAATGCTCCTTCAAAAGTTAACTGGCTAATACAGTATGTTTTGAGAAATATTTCTACTTTTGGGTCAGGCAAGAGCAATCTACTGGCCACACAATAAACAATATTTTTCAGTAAATATGAAATAACTGGTTCATCACCACCTTTGAAAATTGTAAGACTGTAGCCAAACTGCATCAGAGGTATGGTAGGTTTAGGACCAGGGGATCTATAACACTGGCTTGTCAGCAGGTGGACAACTTGATAAAAAAATTTTCCCTGTGAAACTTGCATGCACCAAATGTAACATTTGAAATCAACTCTTCATACTACAATGATACACACAGTATTTGATTCTAACATTTTTGATTAAACAGATGCTATAATATGGTTTGAAACTAAATTATGATTGAGTGAGTTTAATCAAAGTGATAAACTGAAATACAACTACATTGTAAATTTTTCTAAACTAGAAAAATTCTTAGAAATGATATAATGAAAAATATCTGAAGTACAAGCTAATTTTAATTACTTAGAAATCCTATTTTCTACTTAGAAATCCTATTTTGAGCCTGAAGTACTTGCATTTTTAGATGAGTTAAATACAACAGAATTGATCAGAATAAGGAATTGAAAACAATGAGGAAACAAAAAATTAATATTGTGATCTGAATCACCCTTCAGAATTGTTTCACCCAAATTCTAAATGCAAGTCCTTACAGCTTTCTAAATATTACAAAGAGTGATCTATAAAATAGCCTTACCTTTGAAATCCTATTATAAAAAGTCATCTGCCAAGATGAAGGAAATTATATATCAGACTAAATACAGACAGCTTTCAAGAGAAAGCCCTCAAGCAAATACTGAAGACAGTGGTCATTACAGCTCTATAGTTTTTAAACAGAACAAGCATAGTATCTGTACTGTAAAAAAGGCAATTGTGTGGAATGGAAAGCTCATTTTGGAAAAACGAGGGGACCAGTGGGTTGTGAACTCTCCAGGGACTGAAAAGATTTCTGAATGGGTAAGAGTGAAAGGAAACGGGCAGAAAAAGAACCAGGGTATCTGTAAAGAAGGAGCTCTCATTCTACAAAGGTCTGGAGCTACAAAAGACAACTGCGCGACAGTTTCTACAAGGCAAGTAAGGAAGCAGTAACCATAGCTGCTACACAGGTCTAGTGAGACTATTAATGAAATAATGAGTCTAGGGAAGGCTAAGAGGGAAACAATGTAGTATTTGGGAAATTGTAGGCTTAACCAAATAGAGATGCAGGGAGAGTCTTCACTAGAATAATCTCAGAGATGATCCTCAGAAAAGCAACATTCACTTTGTGACATTAGCAGAACTGATTACACTTTCTCGGACTGTTTGGTTTTTTAAGGTTTATTTCTTAAGTTACACACACAAATAGTCAGAATCTTAAAATGTTACTTCCCAACCTGGGCAAGAAATGTCATAGGTGTTCTGTGCTACTCAACACAATCTGTCAGATATGCAAGAAATTGCCTGTGTATATGAATATATTACCATCTGCAAAGATAGGATGAAATCTCAGAAAACATTTTGCACAGTCTTCAGATTTTTTAGAAATGTTCTTTTTTTTCTGCCTTAAAAATACAATTGTAAGAATAAAATTTATAAAAGAAAATGATCTGAAATTTACAAAGCACTTTTGGAAAAAACTTCTGTAAAGCTGGAGCAAAATATTTATGTGTAGAAGGTATAAGAAGCAGCCAAAATATCACAAATAAAAAAAATATTCTGGGGTATTGTGTAAATGTTAGCTTTATATTTGGTACTGTAGAATATGTTTAATGAAAAGAAGCTGAAGTAAGTTAGCACTTCCAAACGTTTAATCGAATTTCTTTTTTACCCTTTTTCTCCATATTACTACTTTTTTATTTCCCACTTACCTTTTAGGGTCTTTTTTTTGCTTTACTGCTTAAGCACATATTTGACTTGTTATTTAAAGACAAAATTGCAAAAAAGACATGTAATGATTCACCTAGTATTAAATAAGATCTTTGCCTTTAACGCTGTCTTACAAAATGATATCAAAATTGCTCTCTCTAAATAAAAATATAAAATGGTATTGTGTGGAAATCCCCACTTCTCACAATAAATCATTTAACTGCATGCTTTAAAGGAGTCAAAGTGAAAAAAAGTGCAAAACTAAACTTAAATATATTGCTGTGAAGGCTCTAAAAAGTTCTGTAAGCTCCCCATGACATACTGTGCACATTCGCTGCTATAGCTTTGCAGAGCAAGCCATACATATGCAGCACTTGCATGTATTCCAGGACAAAACTCAGCAAAATTCTAGAACAAACTTCTAGGACCTTTAATGTTAATACTAGTGATGAAAGATGTGTGTGTAATCTCCTGCACCTACTGATTACACTGGTATTTCTAAAATAACTGTCAGCCTGCTTTACCTTAAAATGACACTGTTTCTTATACATAAGGAACATTTAATCTGATATATTGTTATGCAATGCCAGAAATAAAAAAAACTTCATGCCAAATGGAAAAAATTACTTCAGATTCTTAAAGCCTGTTTAAAAATTGACTTCTATCTTTTCTTAGATTTCTGGTAAAGGCATTAACGATGTAAAATTCTACAACTACTACTGAGATGAGCAGAGAATGCAGTTCTTGCTTTTCCAGAAAGTGAGAGTGTAACACATGGCAATAATGATAATTGCACACCCGCTAAACTTGCCAATAATATTTAACAGCTGCAGCACAGATAAAGTCACACCATAGGTGTACATGCAACTGCTCATTTTAATACCAACTTGTAGATCTATGGATCATTAAATCAGAACAATGCACATGTCTGAAAGAAGCAGAAAGGTTTTTTCTTTTTAAAGTTTTCTGGGCTATTCTGGTCTGTCTGCAAATAATATCCATTACTGAGTTTCCGTTGTGATAGAAAGACAGTAACGTTGAAATAATCTTATTAACTTGAGACTGTAGAGACTAATTGTCTATAGTTGGCTTAGCAGAAACAAATCTCCCATTTCAATCTCCTCATTAAACCTTGCCCCATCTGTTATAATTCATACCTTCTTTTCTATTCAGTGAATAATCATGTACCAAATCATTAAAGCATGAAGCAGATTCTTCATAGGATTAATTCGTTAAAATGATAGCAGGCTTTATCGATTTGAGTTACTGAACAAAAAGTTTAAGAACTTACATACGTCAACTCCCTTCAAATGTACTTACTTTCAGACAGTTTATATTAAGAAGCATGTTCCAAATTGGTGTTTTAAATACATAATACAATTTAGCCCGTGAAAGAACAAATAACTGCATCAATCTTGAATGTTCTTTATTAAATTAAAGTTCATTTTTATTTTAAAAATATCCAAACATGACAGTCTTGTAAAGTTTCCAATTTCCTTTCATAAAGTGTTTCTTTATATTGATTTCCAATCAGTATATTCACCTATGTTATAAAACCTAAGCGCATGAAGAAAATACATACTACTTGTTGAAAATGAAGTTAAATGTTTTCATGGAATGTAAATGTAGGCCAAAGGGGTCCTAAAACCTTATGTCTTTATTTTATAACTTTATGAAAACATTCAGGGTATTTTTTTTTGCACACTTCTATACAGACATAGTTAGTGTTCTGAGATTGAGGAAATCTGTCCGTCCATAGAGGCAAATGTCAACCCATATCTGGTCTGTCTTCTCAGGCTCTCTGCCAACACTACTAAAAAACATCTACATGAGTCAAAAAAGAGACTAATAAAACATACGACTAATGTCTACTCGGAGATTAAGTGATCAAGATAAATAAATCACTTGTATAGACAAGGGATTTTAGTTCCACATCCTCCCAAATTAAACTGTTTGGCAAAAATGTCAGGTTTTGTTTTTTTCCCAGCAGTGTCTTCCTATAACATTTCACATAAGCTTTTGTTTAGTATATGCTTGTTCAAACTGAATTCCATTCTCGCAGATCTATTAGTCTTTCAGTTTCAGGAAATAGAAGCTATCCTTACACTCTACTTAGATTAATTCTATTCGTAGGAGATAAATTAATGATTAAACAACAACATAAACAAAAGGGATTTGTAACATATGTTGTACATTTTAAAAAAAAGAAATGTTGTATTTGCCAAGGTGACTCCAGGTCCGAATTTTATTTTTATATATAGTGTATATATACAGAAAAACAAACAAAATCAGTTAATCACTGTGGAAAATATCAGTCCATTTGTCCATTACTTCACTAGGGCAAAGCATGTCTAAAATATCCCCAGAACTGAAGTTCTGTCTAGAATAAACGTACTTTCGTCTACTGCTGAAAGAGATTTCATCTCCTTGATTAGTTTGAGAGGAAGTTGGAACCTTATTTTTCTTTGGACTTAGGAACTAGGACAGAAACACTGATCACTTGCTGAAAAATCTCTTGATAAAATAAATACAAGAGCATGTAAACCATTTGATGCAATATTGGTTATAAAAGAACAATTTAAATTTATGAAAAAATAAGAACAGGCATGCTACTAAATAGAAGAGGGAATCTTGCGTCATACCTTGTTAATGGCATGGCACCAAAATCACAGACTTTGGGATATTACTTTTTAATAATCCTATATTTAATGAGAGCAAATAATGTGCATGTTTTTGAAATTAAAACAACGTAGATAAATACATATGAGTATAAAAGGCTTGATGAATTCTTATTTTTGTTTTATTAGTTTCCTGCAGACTCTGGCATCTAAGCAATAAAACCACAGATACTAGAGAATTTACCATCCCTGTTTCAGCGTATACAGTAAGACAGTGTCACAGCTTTCACAGCCACTAGTTAATGCTTCCTATAATCTGGAAAGCAAGGAGAAAATCATGTGGCTAGCAAGTCTATCAATGTCATGATTCAAAGGTAAGGACTTCATGCTTTTTCTTTGCAGCTGATGACATACGTGCTTTTCCTTTTTGTTGAGAAAAACGAAGTGGAACAACATCTAACAGTCACTGTCTCTCATTATTATTGCCATTAGGAAAAAAATTTGTATTGCTTAGGAATGCTTAAAAGTCTTTGAAGAACACATTTCTATACAAGATTTGAACTGTAGAGTTATGGATTACTAATGTAGGATATTAAACCTGTAGTCTAAAAAGCCTCCATAGGAGCACACAACAGCATACTGCACTCATGCTGCTTATGGTAGAGAAGTGTTTCACCCAAAACCCAGCCTAATAAGAAAGTGTTCTAGAACTGTACTGCATTATGATGCAGTTCTTTTATATGTGACAAAGTTGTTTAAGTTGCACAAAACCCGTCACTAATTTAAACGTTTTCACCTCGCTTCTTTCTACTAGTCCAAATCTTAAGGGACTTAACTTACTGTCTGAGTTGTGACAACTTTAGACTAATATGAAAAAGGTCATCAAAGCTATGACAAAAGGTTAACTCCAAAGATGCTGACTTCATTACACTGAAGTGTTAGTTTAGTCTGATTTTACATATTTTTAGAGTTCACTCCAATACCTGCAAAATAGGATTCCCAATAACCAAGGCAACTACGATTACAGGAGGAGAGAAATTCCCCCCTCAGCCGAAGTACTTAAAAAAACCTGCAAAACTTAAAACTTTTGGGCCTTAAATGTGTGCCTAAACAGCTAAACAAACATGGCTGAATTTTGTCCTAACTTGAGTAAGTTTTAAGATTATTCTCTTTATTAGAATAGCAGTCACTTTATTTATATGTCTGATGATAGAAGATGATTTAGAAGCCTAATTATAGACATCGAGATTTATGTTTTGGCAATATGTACTGCATATAGACAAGCTAACTAAAAAAACCCCATTTGTATTATGGGGAAATGAACACTACCAGTTTAACTTTAGACTATGCAAATCTTTACTGCAAGAACTATGACATGCAGTTCCCACTAATGCAGCATTATTGAATTACAGGAGAGACTGTTAGCATAGATCACCTTATATAGCTAAAAGTCAAATAAAAAAAATAATATAGCACCATTTATTTTCAGAAATTATTTTGATAAAATACCGCTATGTAATCTCTAATTTTCAGCATATAAAATGCTGAAATGGAAATTTAATATGGATTAAAATCATAAATAAGACATACTGGTTCAGGTAACATTATTTTCTATATTTACTGATAACAAGTTGTATTATATACCATAAAACTGATACAATGTATGTGAAATTGGTTTCTGGAAATGCATAGTTTCTCACAGAATAATTTTTTTTTGAACTAACTTAATTTTAATAGGCTTTCATCTATGCGAACTGCCTATGAAACTTCCAAACATTAACATCTGTTTAGTTCCCTACTTAAGAATATATGCACTTTTACTAAAGAGAAAAAAAACCCACAAAAATAAGACAACAGACTTACCTGAAGCCCCTGTCTCATGCATTTTTAATTCATGCTTGCTATCTGGCTTACAACCACTTTTTTCATCAGCTTCATCGTCACCCCACCAGGCTGGCTGTCCATACAAAGGTGTTCCACGAGGCATGGCAGAAAGATCTATAAAATCAGCCCAAAGCAGAGGAAATTACTCTTCTGTTTAGTTGTGATATTTAGGTAAAAATAACATGGAGACAGAGTGATTTGCTTGGATCATTTCTCCTGGAAGCTGAAGTGAATTGGTTGCATGCATTTGCCTAAATACAAAACAAACTTGGGAGGCTGGATAACTGATCTGGGTTCTAAATATAAAAGCTTACTAATGACCCGATCAAAACTTCTGGCACAAACATTTATGGAAAGGCAGCTGACATCTCTTATTGTTACCCCGATATATATCTGTAAACATTATTTTCTGCTTTCAGTTTGAAGTCATCAGCATAGCAGTACGGTCCTAAAAGCTGTCCGCTGCAATTTCTGTGAGATTCTCACTTTTACCCACATTGACCTTTCAATGAAATCTGAACTCACTGCATGAAAAACTGATCAAATTTTGCAATGTTGCCAAGGTTCCAAATTGCTGACAGCTACTACAGAGTGCTGAAAGTTACCTTGTGTAAAACATTACTGAGCACAACCATTTTAAATTTATTTTTTTTTTTTTAGAAAAGGTAATAGTTAAATTACAGTACAATTAAAAATGCTATTTCTTATATAGGATGTATACACATGATTAAATACATTTAAATGGAAAGATTAAATACGAAAAAAAAGCACTGATATAATTAAGATTTCTACCTTGATGATAAATGGAAATTGACTGGATAGTTTTGACCTTATCTCTTGGAAGAGTACTCTACCCTACTGAGATTTAGCTGTTCTAGTATCCATACAGATGTTATGAAGATTCTTTAAATAGTCTGTATATAAAATAACATGATCTGTTCAAATCCAGCTTAGTAGCTTGTCTGTTACTTTGCCTATCACGAATTTCAACATTTTTATTGAATGTTTTATTCACTACCATTCCAAAGATGATATCTAATTTCATAGTCATGCCAAAAGTTTCAATGTGATTTGAAGATATTAAGTACTTCCTTTTTTAAAGAGCGTTACACTTTAGTCAATATTGAATCATTTTAAAAAACTTGACGGCTGATGCTTGTGCGCTGAATTAGCAATAGTAAACAGCTATGCATATATACAGTGACAGTGAGAGAATCAATCCCCAAAACGCTTATGAGAGGTGCACTCAAATCCCTATGATTAACTTTGACAGTTATTTTTGGATGAGAGAAAAGAAAAAATAGAAGATGAGGATAAAAAACCCCACTGTGCTACTTTATGAAAATTTAAGAGGACTTGAATGCTGAAAAGCCCTACTGAATAGGAACGCTGAAGTAATGGATAGGCTTTATGTACCCATAATAGGATGCTAGATCAGCCAACAAAACAAACAAGTTAGTTAGTTATACCACAGGATCCTATATGTGGGGAAGAGAACTCTTTGAAGGGTGTTTACCAGGAGAATGGATTAAACCTAAACAAAACTGTACAGCCTTGACCTAAGGAGTCAGACCTAGTCAGCTCCGTATTAACGAAGCAACCATACTTGATTCCTTTCTCATTCTTGTGGTTATCTCCTGTAGTAACAGGTAACGCAGCAAGTTACTCTAAGATAAACACTAAACTTTAGTAAGTCTCACACTGAAGTTAAGACACCCACAGCAGAGCCACGACACATTACATGAATATAAAAGATGATGTAGAAACAAGACTGAAGTTACAGTTTCTACAATTTTTTAAACTAAAGTAGAACACTTAGGTTCTATCCTGACGTGTCTAACAATGAAGGCGAGTATCTAGAAAACAAACAAACCAACCCTCCAGCTGTTTAAAAAGAAAAAAACAGTGCACTTGACAATGGCGGTGGTAAAAAGTACAAACTGCTTCTGAACAAATATTTTCAGTTGAACTGCAAAAAACTAGCACTTTCCTGGCACAAATGCTGAAAGTTTGTGATCATGGAAAAGAGAAATGCAAAAATCTGATAAATGCTGATTAAATGTCCCTTTATGAGTTTTCTTATCATGTCAATGCTACAGAAAAAAAGGCAGAAATTCAATTCCAAAAGTTATGAATTACACTTAAAGTATGTTTAAAATTATACATATGTGGAGTGTTTACTATCTACAGGACTTCACAAGCATCCTACCAAAGTAAATGAATATCCTTTCGAAGTTTTTGTGCTTCTGCAGCAAAAAAGAACCTTACCCATTGATTTCTCTTCAGATTTCAGTGCTTCTGTAGTTTTGTGGTGCACTTCAGCTGTGGAGTCTGTCACCTTGGATTCTGAGCTTTTGGAGCTGGTTTGCTTTGATCCTTCTGCCTCTGAAGATTTTTGCGATAATTGGAGTTGGCTTGTGAATTTTTCATGCTACATGACGTTAAATAGAAAAAAAAAAAACACCCTCAAAGAGTGGAAAAAACCCTTTTGTTACTAATAACTACACAATGACAAAAGAACATCTAGGAACTGCATGTTGTTACCTTAAGTGCTTCTTCAGGGACCCTCATCTCTCCTCTGACAACAGTAAAAAGATTAGTATGTATGAAACGCTAAGGAAAATATTGGAAAGATTTCTCAATACACAAGAGTATTTGACAGAAATGCAACAGTTCTGTAGCCTATTCTGCCATTGGAATGGTGACACTTCTACAAATATGTCACCGTTAGGACTAGAATGTACAATCATAGTCATCAAAGCAAATGCACAAAATAATTATTTACTATTTGTGAATAGAACATTGAGTAGATACCTCACTGCTGTAATAATACAAGTTCTCTCTTTTTTTTTTTCCATTCAGTAGTTTGCTGAGTAGTTAGTTGTAATCTTCTCTACTTGTATACAATCTCATATGATAGAAATATTTGTGTATTTGCCTTAAAGTAATGTTTCTTAGCAACACAGAAGTTACACATTAGGTTTTAAATTGTAATTTGAAGTTGAGGCTTCTTGCAGTGAGAAACAATGAAAGGCACTTTATCAATAGTTCTGACCAAGGTACAGTATTCTAAAATCCGCCATTTTCTCTAATGTAGGCATTTTTGTAGTAACGAGAGAAACAAATGTTTCAAAGTTGCTTCTCAAACAGTATGAGAACCCTTAATTTAACACAACCATACTTCTAACAAGCACAGTGTGTCCCAAGACTGCGCATTTTTAAGACAAGGATATCATATCCGAATCTCAATTTATCTTCTAACTTCAGAGTGATGTATGTCTGTTCTGGAATTCTCACATCATTCACAAATGTCTACAGAAATGAACGAGAACAGAAAGATACTGTTAAATTCCAAAATAATAAAATGATGAATCACTTAAATAATTTTGTAAGAAAGTTTTCAGCACTGCAAATTTTCTACTGGTGATTCACTGGGGAATTAAAACTGTAAGATCGAATTGCCACCTGCTTCACAAAATATTTCAAAAGAAAGGTTAAATACCAGTCGCTAACATCACACTGGCCCTGAAAATTTTCTTACAAGTTTAATCTTGTTAGCAGTATTTACTGAACCGTTGATTAATGTTCCCTCAAATTAGCACCTCCACTCATTATTTTTCTTGTAGTTTGCTTTTTCAGTCCCAATTAGATGTCATAATTGATTTATCATCACATTTGTACAGCATATAACACTGGACATGAGAGTTCTGAGGTAGCTTCTAATTTCTAAACGTTGTCAAATGACTTAAAGGAAAAACGGATCGACTTCATGCATCTGAGTAACTCCAAACAGCAGCGATAAAGAATTCAATACATTGCAACTCTTGAATCAGTAGGTATAACAACATTTGTAAGCAGAAATAACGTTATCATACCAGCTAGCAGCAAAGCAGAGCAAATTCCGTAGGCTTGACAATACCTTTTGAAAATTCAGCTACTCTACAATAAGTAATCCTCTCCTCCTTGAAATCACTTTCGGAAATGTAGTTGGAGAAATTGGACAAACTTTCAGCAATTTGGAGAAGGATTTATATACCTGAAAGTTTGCCCAGTTTCACCAGTTTCACCTATTGGTTGGCTGTTAGAGGCAGTACAGATTACCAATCACTCCGATTTCAAGGTCCTGGATTAAACCTAACAGCAAAAAATAACAAGGAATTCACAAAAACATGCTGGTATAAATATCAAGAGAACATCTGAGATATATACAATGACTAATTACAGAGGCAACAAGGAGGAAGAATAATATAAGTTCAAATCAAAATGGATCTCAGAGATGTAATTTGGAGAGTTGGAAAACAATTTCATCTCTGGGAAAAAACCCAAATTAACACAAATAGGGCTTCAAGTTAGAATATTTAATCCCTAAAGAAAATTCTAGAAAGTCACCCACATAAAATTCTAAACCAGACACAAGCCCTTGCAAGAACCATGGGGGTGGGGGGGTGGGGGGGTGGAGTTTATTCCTTCACTGGAACTGACCTGCATCTCTAAAGACTGATTTACAGTCCAGACTGATTTACAGTCCCAGGAAGGTAGGCTGGCAGCGTCAAACAAACCGCCTAGGTTACTAACATCAGCAAGACTTCAAGCTGCACTTGATAACTTCAGATACTAGAAACCAAGGATGATATCGTGCAAAGGTAGGAGTGAGCGTCAGGAGGTGAGAGTGTTCTTCTCACAACCTGCTCTTTTGCTGTTCGAGAGGATGCTTAAACCTTCAGGCAGAGACTTCTCCCAGAACCTGCCACCTCCCAATGGCAGCTCTCAAACCAACCCTTCTGCTCATCCCAAGTCATACCACTGCTCTAAGAACTCTCCACATTAGGCTGAAGCTCTAATTGTGAATTTTTTCTTAAACTGAATTTGTTACCTTTAGCGAAAACTCTACACTCTGTCTCTATCTTCTGAATTCACTCAGCAATAGAGAAATATAAAAGGGTGAAGACATGTTTTGCCTAGCAGAAAAGAATATTAAGCTCTCGATTACAAAAACTAGAGATCAAGGTCCAAAGAAAAAAGAAAACAGTCAATTTAACTCTGCATAATATTTAAGACACTTTCAGAGTTACAGATCCTTGAATAATCTTCCTATAGTGTGAGCTGACCAAAAACTGCACAGCATCATGCCTTAAATTATTTCTCAAGGCTCAATTCACATCTGCATTAAGAAGCTACAATTTACACTCTAAGTTCCTCTCCCCTACATTCTCCTCTGGCTTTCTTGAAATCTTCCTTCTCCTTTTACCTGAAAAGGATGCAACATCCAGACTTAGAAGAATGTAGAATCTTCCCTGTAGGAAATATGAATAATCAGTTATATGTGAAAAGTCTCGTTCCTTGGTGTTACTTCCTTCATCTTCTTTTAGAATACAAAATGAAGCCCTAAAGTTAGGGTAAATTCAAGGCAAATAAAATATTTATGGATTAGCTGGTATGAGACTGTTGCATTATTTTATGAATTATTTATCAGTTGTATATTTTCCCATACCTTAAAAAATTTACAGTTTCTTGCTAATTTTTACTTTTCATAACAACTACATGTCAACACTACAAGTAGGAGATTAAATATCCAGGGTGCCTGGATATTTGATTAAAACTTACTTTATTTTCAAATCTAGATGTACAAAGTCCATGATGAAGACTGCTGTAACCTTTTCACTGAACCAAGTGTGAATCAACCATGCAGATAAGAATACTGAGCCATTAGGGCACCAGGTACAATTACAGTTCATCTCATGAAATTATTTGGGACCCAGAAAACTCAAACCCAAAGCCCTACGTATTGGCAGTAGCCATCTCCCCTTCAACTCTGAATTCTCTTGAGTGGTTAAAGTGTATTACACCAGAAATGGAGCAGTCCTGTATACTAAGAAAAGTATGTATCCGTTCTCCAAAGAAATGGGACTAACTGGGAGATCCCAAATAAATGTTTGCTCTTGATGAAGCAAGTAAAATAAGAACAGGTAGAAGTTGATGGAAGCACTTAAAGAGGAACTTGGATATTAGGGAGGTGGTGTTCTCAGTGGAATAGTAACTAGACTAGAAGAATTATTGCCTACTTAGTAGTTCACTGCATGGTACAGAGGCATTGCATATATCGTTCTGCCACACAATTAAGTATGGTGTTATAAAATCATGTGTTTCCTTTATTGGCCTGAAACCGGTTAGGCGGAGGTATGTAAGAAAATCACAGTCATAAAGAGATGGTAAGGGAAGCACTGCAAAGACAAAGAGCAAGAACTGAACTCCTAAGACTTAATATTCCCTGTCCCCAAACTGTGGGAAGAAGGAGTTCCTTTGCTGTCTCTGGGTAAACAGCTATAGAGCAGCTGACACCTCAAACTTGAGAATGAATCAGATCAAGCAAAGCAAATAACTGAAAGCTCCTTATCAAGGGCAAAGGAAGGAGTCACATTAAGGCCTTTTAACATATATTTTTATTAAATTCAAGTTCTGTGACAAGGCAATGAAAATCTGAAGGTATGCCTATTGACTACAGTAGTAACACAGAATTAGGGAATAAAATCAACTGGCCCAGCAAAAAAATGACTATGTACTGAATTAATTTTTGATCACTGCCTTGAAACAGTGCAGTGACTTCCAAAATACAGAGGCATATTAAATATTTAAGGAGTAAAGTTCTTATGTCTACAACTGTTCAAAGGATATAACCCTTCAGGTTACACTGGTTTCATACGGAGTTGAGACTCCGACACTTTGGAAGGCTTAGTTACCTTAAAATACAGAAAAGTTAATACAGACAGACTAACAGGGTTTTTATTTTGAAATGCACTTCAAGATCAAACACCAAAACCTAAATCAATGCTAACAGGCAGTAACTCCAGATTTCTTCTTCATCTTCTGTTTTTTTAAACATTTGACAAAGCTATTCAATACCAGTACCTTTCTAAACATTCATTCAAATAAGCAATCACAGATGAACTCACGATTTTATTCTGTGCACATTCATGACACAGCCAAACATTTAAAGTTACATAAAATAACAAACATAACTAGTGTGTATAAACAGGTTATAAAGAAGTATCTAAAGCGCTACAAAAATATGACAAAGTTACTAAGTTTTTAATAATCTATTATACTATTCAAAACATTTATAAAAGGTGAAATTTACCTAGAATATTGTATACACAATTCCTAGAAAAGTCTTAAAATGTAAAATGTCCTATGAAACTTTATTTTGCCCATAACTTTGCATTTTTCCTATATTAGTTCATAATAACTTGACATTTACACATTATTCATACACACTGACAAAAAGGAGACTGAAAAACTAAATGCAAATATAGAATTAAGTAGGTTCACATGCAACATCATTATTGTATATGTATTTTTTCCACATATGAAGTACAGTTTAACAACCTCTTCCGTATGAAAAAAAGGAGAAAAAAAGGAATAGCATATGAAATAACACTTAACCAGTCATTTTAGAGACTGAAATCCTCCCCCCCTCTTTTTTTTTTTTTTACAATATAATCAAGATTTTTTTTTTCTACATTTCTGAAATACAGAAGAGTGACATATTACTTTTTATTCTTTTGAGTTTTTTCCTACTGCCAAGGCCCTCTTATTAATGGAATTTAGTGCAGCCCTTTAAATAATGTGCAGCGGAAAACCCCCGCAAAAACTACATTTTTCTATTTGAATGTTCCCCCATTTCCAATCTTGCATTAAAAAGATATTAACATACACTTGTTAAGTCATACACTCTTTGCTCAAAAAAAACCCCCGAAACAAACATATAAAAGACTATGGGGAACTATCCATTTCTGATGTTAACTTACCCCATTCAAACTGCCCAAATCCTTCACCAAATGTTCATCCGTAGAGGCATCATAGTTAAGTACAGCATGTTGCTTGTCCACACTTCGTGACTAAAATACATTAAAAAAATTATATAAAATAAGGTATTTCACAAGCAGATCAAGATAGCATTAATGGTTGTTTCTTAAAGTAGTGTGATTATTTTCTTTCTACATAGTACATTTATTCAAATTATATAAAAAAGTTAGTCCCATAAACAAAAAAACTTAACCTCTAACCATACCCAACTCTGGCCCCAGGTGCCCATAGCAGAATCCTAAAATTAATTCAGAAGAGTTGTTTTCTTAATGTTTCCTAAACTATGATTACAAGTCAGATCCAGCCACACCTTATCCAAAGATTTTTTTTTTCAGTTCACCATAGTATCACTGATGTTTAATCTAACATCATCAGCCTCACCTTTTTTTTTCTCTCTCTCCCCACTCCCTTTACTTACATGCATCTTTCAAAACATGAGTATGATTCAGTGGTGTTCTCTCTGAAATACACTGTTTCCTGTCACACATCAGTGAATCTTCCATTATGTTGCCTGGGATACTTACCATAGTATACAAGCATTCAAACTGTTTCTCCTTGATCTCAATTTCCTAAACAAATTAGCTATAGCCTTTCACTAAATGTCTCAGTAGTTCCTGAATTACTATTCCCATCAGTTCTGACTCTCTTTATCAGTCTTTCCTTAAGCACTTCAGTATTTATTTATTTAATTAATTCTTTATTTCACGTCCATATGTCAACCCACAGATCAGGAACAATCCTTGTTACCGTTTCCTCTGAGAACACCACCTCCCTAACAGCCAAGTTAGCACCTGTAGCACTTGCCCATGGCCCACCGTTGGCAGCCTGAGGTGCTGACTGCAAGTGAGAAAGAGGTGGGGCTGGATGTACGCTTCCTTTGGACACGCGTGCGGTTGGTACCTTGCCATCTACAAGTGTTCCCAACTGGATGGAGCCCACAGCTCATCTTCCCCAGCTGAGCATGCTCGATCTCGACCTGTTTGCTGGTAATTCTGCTAGTGCAGTGCCCTGCCACGATGGCATAGCCCTGAATTTCTCCCAACAGCATTCTTTACAGTTCCAGGTTTGCATGTGCCATCCTTGCTACTCAACTCATTGCTCAGGACTACAGAGCACTGAGAACGGTAAAGTTCTGTTCAAGACTTCTGTGCTTATTTCTCTACCAGCACCAACAGTCTGTCCATTCTAGCAGTCCCAGGTCATCAGTGCATTAGCCAGTTCAAGGCATCAGAACATGCAATCATGACTCCTAAGGAAATGCCTTCTCTTCTCAGAATCCCACATGTATCATCTCATTCCTTCTCCCCTTCTTGAGACTTGCTACTACTATTTTCCTTCCTTCTTTTCAATTTACTTCCTTATTCTTCCTTTCCATGCCATCTTTTGACTGCTTCACTTTCTCCTCAAAGAAGTGAAATCAGTCCTCTTCTGCTTATACTTACTATTTTATTTTTAGACTTTCCATTTGAACCAACTTGCTCTGCAGTCTTGAGGGGTATAGAAGGGAGCCAGGATATAAGGAGGGAGGGGAGAATTAAGGAAGAAACAGATAAATGAACAATAAGGTTCATGCCAACAAAAGCTGCACTAGTACACTACATCAGTTAAGTGTTCTTAATTGTAGATGAAGATACATTGGTGGTATAGCTCATTTTCTACCAACGTAGTAACCTTTCTTCAAGTGAAAACAAGCCAGCTCAATAAAATGAAATTCACTGATGTCGATGTTCTGCTGAGCCTACAAGGTCAAGCAGAGATTACACTTTTCCACACTCGAGTGATGCAGCAACGTAAGCACAAGAATTACTCTATCTTTATCTAGGTGATGGGAAAAATTTGTGAACTTCTTTCAATAGATTATTTAAATACATATTGTATTAGTAATCAATTATTTTATTATCTCTATGTGCTACATCCTATTAAAAATAAGTTAAAATGGGAAGGAGACAAAAAGATCCTTAAAGTTTCATGATATTTTGTCACATCTGAAATGGTAAGAATGATTACTCAGGTCTGTGGCTTTTCGAGAAACACCTGAAATTCTGCAGAACATTAAGGCTCTCCTCACACTCAGATTACTTGCCTATAATCGGACACATTTTTATTCACTGCAGACGATCTTTACAGGTGCAAAGACTGTGCAAATCTTTCAAACGCCATTTTTCTTTCTGATTTGTTACTGCAGCTGTCCATTCAAATTATAGTACTATCAAAATGCCTTTTTATAAGCCTGCAGTGCCCCAGCTGGCAGCTGAGCACCACAGAGCCAGCCACTCACTCCCCCTTGCCCCAGTCGGACAGGGGATAGAACAGGAAGAGAAAATGCAAGAAAACGCACGAGCCAAGTTAAAGATAGTTTAAGCAGCGAAGGAAAGAGGAAGAAGGAAGAAGAAATAAAACAAATCAAGTGATGGAAAGGCAATCGCTCACCACCTCCCACAAGCAGACCAATGCCCAGCCAGTCTCTAAGCAGTGCTTACCATCCCCAAAGCCCCCTCCCTCAGCTTTTATTGCCGAGCATGACATTACATGGCACGGAACATCCCTTTGGTCGGTCTGGGCCAGCTGTCCTGGCTGTGTTCCCTCTCAACTTCTTGTGCACACCCCCAGTCACCTCTGCGTAGGAGAAGCAGAGTGAGAGAGAATACCTTGAAACTGGGCACACCCTGATCAGCAATAGCTAAAATATTGGTGCGTTCTCAACAGTGTTTTGGTCACAAACCCAGAATGCAGTACCATAAGGGTTTCTGTAAAGAAAATTAACTCCAATCCAGCCAGACACAGCACAAAGATTTATATATGACTGCAGAAATAATAATCTGTGCTAAGAGCTGTATGAATAAAAAAAATGGAAAGTCCATCCTCCGTTAAAATAAATTGGTAACCGGCATTATTTTAGACAAAGACTCTTCAATTCAATCCAGACTACTAAGAAAATGTTCAGAATGCAGAAAATAAGAGCATTCTTCTTTGGATATAGTTTTGATATCATGAAAAATGCAGAATTTTTTTTTTACCTTGGAGATGATTGCCCCATGAAGATTCAAAAACTTTTCTAAACATAATGGTGAAAGAAAAGGAAAACGTGGTATTTATCCACAAGTAGGGTGATGCATTGGAGCAGTTAGTTAAACACAAAGACTGCACACGATGTTTGAGCATATTTGCAAAATAACACATTTAAAGCAAATCTGTATTCCCAGACATGAACAAAATCTCTTACAAGAACACTGTTAGGTTCAGGTCTGAAGTTTAATTCTATCAAGCATGCAACAGAGTTGAAAGGCTTTGTAACAAGGCTTTTATAACGTGTTTTCTGTCAAGAGATTATGAATAAAAGCAATAAATTCTGCTTTCTTTATCATGCATTGTCCACATGCTTTGCAGTAAGAGAACAACCAAGTTGTCAAGAGTGGAAATGAAGGTCCTACACAAAGAGCTATACATACAGAACAAGAACACATTATTAGCTTCTCCTTTGACGGGTTCCTCCCCCTGAAGCAGTATGTGGTGTTACAGTCATGCTGGCATGCAGACCTAACATAACAGCAGGCTAAAGAGAACATTCTTGAAAATCACCAAGCCCCTTGAGTCTTTTTACTATCTCTGAAGTCAATACACAACAAAGAACATTTGTAAATGACTGGAATCTATTAATCAAAGAGGCAGCTACTTTTGAAGGTGATGATGACTGAAGTTTTGTAACACAAAATAGTAAATGCTTGAGTATTCAGCTTCTCTCTAAGGACCGATCAACCATGGGCAGGAGATGGTATAGGGGAGAGAGAAGGAAGAAAAGGCTCCCTTATTCAGAGACAATCACTCATTACAACAAGCTAGCAGTAAAACAAAAGCATTTTTTGATCATAATCTTCTGGGCAGGAACCAACTGGTTGGGGTTCTTTGGTTGCTTTCTTTTTTGTCTTGGGTGTTGGGGGGGTGTTTGTTGTTTTGTTTGGGGTTTTTTAAATACTTCCCACATAAATCACCAAGACATCATACCACCTGTCTTTAAAGAGAAATGAAGACTATTTTCAACTACCTTCTAACAGGGCAACGTATTTCCATCACCAATAAAACCTCTACATGCCTTCTGAGGTTGAGAGCCAAATGTAGTTTACTAGAGATATTACATTCTGAGTAATATACAGAAAAATAGGCTTCTGGGCACTTAATTTGCAAGTGAGATTCTAATTTGACCATTAGTGGCTGCATACACAACTCTTGGGAACATAAAAAAAAAAAAAAGAAAATATTTTATTGAATGGTAGGAAGGGTTGAGAATATTAGTTTTGAAGTTCAATTTTCTTAAGAGCTCTACAGTAAATAAACACAAGAATTCAAGAAGAAACTCCCAAAATATTACCATTGACCATTCAAAAATTATATATACTAGAAAGCAGCAGCTCAGAGCGCAACAGCTTTGATAGGGCAAAGTGCCTGCAATATGGCTACATAACAATACAATCACACACCTCTAAGAGGTCCACATAGTGACCCTCAAAGTTGAGGAAGTTACTGAAGTATCAAACTGTTTTGACTAAGACTTGCATTTTTACAGTTCCACTGAAACCATTACTGAGATTGAGTCATTCAACTTCCTCTGTAAAAGAGAAGTACTCTTCTCCACTAATTTCATTTGCCTTTGTACAACAAGATCAGGACATGGGGATAGAGTTACATCAAATCACGTGACTAAATTAGATTACAAGTTGCAAAAAAAGAAAGCTCTTTTCAAAAGCATCCAGTGCACTTAGCATTATCACATTTTATGGAGCACACAGCCTACTTACTTTACTGATCATATTGCAAAACTTATTTCACCTTCTATTCTTGCTTTCTGTATGTGATTTATATGAAGAAAATGTGATCCTCTGCACTTGGACAGTAACTGTATGATTGATGGCAATATATTTAAACTAAGTTTTTGCTATGAACACAAAAGATTGATCAAAACAATTGCTCTCCCAACATCTGAGGAATTTAATTGTCAAAAGGAATATAAAACTGGTGCATTAAGTTAAGGATTTGAGCAGTTCCACATGCTGGGCTGATGCAATTACCTGTAACATCAGCTCACAGTCATCTCTTCCAACAAAAATCATTTCTCGTGGCAGCCTGTGGCGGGTGCCTCCACTGCTCACCAAAAACCAGGATGTTAAGCTCATTTTCTGCTTAGCTGATAAATCCTTAGCAAAGCTACGTCATCCTGCAGCAAGAAAGAAAGAGAGACAGAGAAATTCATTTTAGTTATTTTTAGCTACAGTTCCTGCTCAGCAAACACTGTGAGCGGAATACAAAAAGCCTCTGAAAATACGGCATTCTCAATAGCATGTACTGAATCCAGCAATCACAGGAAGTGGCAGGCTCCAGACTTACACAGGCTGAGGCCCGGCTTCATACAACTATGCAAATTTAATTGGAGGTAAGCTTCTTCAAAATTAAGCAGCAGCTAGTTAATGCCAAAGTCATATGTCAAGTTGTCAGAAAGCTTTTAACATTTGACTGCTTATTATCAAGGTAATTGCTACATTAATGCTTCACTATCACAACCAAAAAACAGGGTGGCAAACATTCACAAAATACAGCACGCAACTGCCATGTGTGTCATTACATTTTCCTGTGAAAAAGAACTACCTCATTCGGTTTTAAGCTCAGGTCCTGTGTACAGCATCAAGTGAAAGTTTAGTTTAAAGGAAGTTTTGCTTCTTATTTAACCCTATGATTTTCTCAATAACACTTCTATCTTGGAAATTTGTCAGCATACATTTAGAACTGTAAACAAAGCAGAGCAAAATGAACAATTCAGAAGCTATTTATAAGTAATAAAACTGAAAGCAGTATTCCTACAAAACTTTACATTAATTTTCCAACAAACAGCATGACATACTACGTACTTACACAGGGAAAAACCCATAGCTATTTAAAATGTCATAAAATACAAAAGAAAAAAAAAATTGAAAACAGAATAAAATCTTTTATGGAAAACTTCTTCGCATAATATGGCCTACTTGAAACTGGACAAAAATATGATTAAAAGCACTCTCCAGAGTAATTTAATGTTGATATGTGGAAAAGCTTTTAAGAACTATTCCAAATCTCTCTTTAAGAAAAAGGAAACCAAAGCAATCATTCCATTCATTCGTTACCACTCTGTATTCATTAAAAGAGAAGCTAAAGAAAATAAAAAGCAACCAGTGGTACCATTCCTCTCAGTACCAAATAACTGGCATTTCTCTTCTATTTATATGCCATTTAGTGAAATTATGCAAGCGTAGCAAGTGTACTGTAAGTAGACATAAGCCTGTAGTGGACCTCAGCATAATCTGCACAATAACAAGCATGCAGCAAGGTTCTCAAAACCAAGACCAACGTGTAAACACTGAATATGATGAAAATGCCAGCACTTCTCCATTAGACAAACTACGATCGAGGTGAGACACCACAAACTATGAAAACTTATAAAGAGGACTGAGTTAAGTCAAAACTGCATCTGAAAATGACAAAACAGATGTTTAACAAAACAGTAAGTCAAAAGCATACCATGGCAGGTGCTAAGAAGAACCAGCAGAGCTGTCAACCCAGTTTAAAAAAATTAATGCAAGTCAAATGGAAGAAATTAGAAAGATTTAATGTGCGAAAGATCTGTGTCATAAAAAAAGTCAGTATGTATTGCAACAAAGTGTTCTCTTATACAGTGATACCTACAATAGGATTATCTTTTCACAGCTGTATTAAAACACATTCTTCAAATGAAATTTATGTCCACTTATTTGTCCAACTCAATGGAAGAAGTCATACAGCATCTCTATTATTCTTTATATTTTATTCATAGAAAATACGAAGATTACAAATTATGTCTACAATAATAATTTGCTGGAATAAAATTTAAAGTTACCAAGCGTTTTAATAAGTAAAAGTTTATTCAGCACATTTGAAGGAAATTAACATTTGTATTTTTAATTTAACCTAGTTTAAAACTAGAGAATGAACTGGGTCAATCAAATGACATTTTTCAATTCCTTTTAAGAAAGGAAAAAGGAAGTATCAAAAACGGCCAGCCTAGGTTCCAGCTTTTAACAAGTAAATTAAATGGATGTTTGACAGCAAGCAGGCTGTTCAGTATCAAAGCTGCTCATTCTGTTTGTATTTTACTGCCTTTTAAATCTCCTATCTGCTTATCATAACAGCATTTACACCATTTGGCATTGCTGCTCTAATTGGAAATTCATACAAAAACCTTGAAGAGGAAATAAACTATTAGATAAACCTCTTAGTCAAAGACTACGTTTTACTTTACATAGGTAAACTGTAAATAAAAAGAGAAAAAAATTTTTAATTTATGAAACAGACAAGTAGGTCAACAACTAGAGCTAGAAAAAAAACCCCAAACCTCCCACAAATGATAGCGCCTGACAACAAACAGATTAAATTAAGCTATCTGAAGTAATTTTTTAAAATGTATTACACACAGCAATCACTGCCACACAGCTTGGCAGCACATTTGTAGTTAAAAGCCCATCACCATTTCTATCGAACTTAATAATGTTGTTCTTTTCAAGCAGCGCTGTCTCAACTGTGACAAATCATCAACCTAGATACATATTTTATTTTAAAGTATTCTTTAGAATAAAACAACGCCTTTGATCAAAGCTATGCTGAAATTCTTCACAGCAAAACTGGCTGAAAACAAGATATAGTAGCAACAGTTACTTAATATCAGAACAAAAAAGTGCATTAAAAATTCAATACGAAACTGCACACTTATTAGTTATATAGATAGTATATGGACAATTACATTGCACCCTGAAAACTTCATGAAAGCTAACAATATTTCTAATACACTCCTGTTTTAAGTACTCTGTCTGTAGTACTCTGAACAATACATGGATGAAAGATTGTTCACTGTCTAGTAGGTACCAAATTAAATGACTATATGACAGGTGCAAAATCACCAGAAGAAATGGTTCTTTACACAGTGTAAATTTAGGTCATGGTAATTCTTGCAGTGAAATGTTATGGATACTAAAAGGTTACACTGGGTTCAAAGAGCAATAAGCATTCATGGAAGAAAAAATTACCACGCCTGTTAAATGCAATAACTCCACTAACAGCTCAGGAACCACATGCGCTGTGCATTTTGAGAGGCTAGGAAGGAGTGTGCTCTTAGCGAGGTTTCACTGCCTATCGTCCTACTTAATAACCTCCCTTCCTTACCTAGCCTTTGTTTACATGGAACAGGATACCAGCCTAGATGGACCTCTCTCACTCCAGTACAGACTACACTTCTCAGATGAAATATTTACCAGAAATATTCTGCCCTAGAAGAATGAATTTTATATGCTTTATTGAAGTTTTTTTTTATTAGTCTCTCCTAATATGGCAGTAGTGTGTTGTAATCTTTAAACAAACCAGTAAACACTAGTAAGACGTAATCATTCAAAGCAATACTTCATTCTAGATACCTGGAAGTCAGTTGCCGAGACATCTATTGCAACTGCAAAATATCTCCTTGTCTGCATAAGAAACAGCATTTTACGGTGAAGGACTATGAATTTCAAAAGGCAGTAACCAGTGTGTACGAATGAACACATGGGTAATAAGTCATTTGAAATGGATGATGCAGCAACAAGGAAATTAGCTGCATCATCCCTGTAAATATAATTCAGTCCTAAGAACTAAAGCCCTGCATTAGGTAGCCAAAAGATGGGTGTAACCAATTTCAAGTATGTCTAGAGAAACACTGCCAAGATTATAGTCTTGATACAGTAATGTTATTGTAAGCAAAAATCCTTAACAATTTCACATTTGAGCCATCTACAGTCTACATTTCTGTATTTGCCTGTAGCTGAAAACAGCCAATCGTACTCTCCAACTAAACTATTAGTGAGCACTGAGATGCCGATCCTACAGAGAAACAAAAAGCTATGTTTAAATTTTAAACTAAACCTAATATACGCCTGAAATTCCAACACTAGAAGCACTGCAGTCCTCCATATTAAGACTGAAAACAGTAACATTTTACTGGTACACAATATTCCTACTACTGTACAGCAAATTTTATTTAAGAGGATTTTAAAGTAACTTAAAAAAACCCATGCATCAAGCTGAGACACAGTGCTGATAAAGCTGGAAGCCCTATGCTGCCCATTATTTGCCCTTCTAAGTTCCTGTTTCCAGCTGCCAAAATTTTTACTAAAATTAAGTCTACCTTCTCATACAATTGCCTAGTATATTTTGGGAGCCTTCAGAAGAAATGACTCAAACATTTCTGAAACTAGGTTAGAGGAAAATACTCTATGTTACTACCTTTAAAAAAAAATATTATAAGTAGTACCTCATACATGCAAATTGGTAATTGAAATGTGACAGGAGGCCCCAGTATCAGTTTGTACCTTCTACTATTGCTCCTGCGCAAATCTATCCAAATGCAGACAAGCAATAGGCTTTTGAAAACTTTCCACGATTAGTTCAACAAGTACACAGATAAATTCTCTTGACACATCTGTCTACAGAAAACATGCTCCACAATTTGCTTCAACTACCTGTTTTTAATGTTACAGTGCCAGTTAGAACCAAAAATAGGGCATCTTTCCCCAGTACTCTCACTTCATCCACTGCTGCTGGTAGAGAAGAAACATGAGGGTACAAGACCCAGAAGGAGAGGACATCACCGCACCTGGACAAGACACGAGCTGGAGCTAGGCACACTCTGGAATGAGGAATCAAGGAAGGTAAATGTCAGGTGTAAGCCATGACAAGGGAGAAATCAGAGTTAGGAGAGCACTCATGGAGCCAGCCAAGACTGGAGAAGACGTGAAGTTGAAGTCGATTCCCAAGTCACAAAGAAATGCTGTCAGCAAACAATACCCACTGGAAAAGTGCCTACTGTGACTGCTTTATCGACTAGCCAACGTAATTAAGGATACTAGTACCAGCAGTTCTATTTTTGACTGAAATGGAGAAATCCGTGCTATAGAAAGAAAAGAGCAAAGTGAGAAGATTACTCTATCAATATAATTGATATTACAAAGTAATCTATAATGATAATTGATTTAAATCTAGGAAGTTGTAAGTGAAAAACACCACAATAATATTGTCTGCTCTGTAACACACTCTGAAGTTGGGCAGTATCACAAGCAGTGTTCCATGTGCAATCATAATTAGCCTACTTATACGCATGCATTAGAAAATAACTATATCG